CACGCGCATGTTCAGCCAGACGCTGAGCAGGGGAATCTTTGAGCGAGCTGAGAACATGCGCGCACGCGCATGTTCAGCCAGACGCTGAGCAGGGGAATCTTTGAGCGAGCTGAGAACGCGCATGTTCAGCCAGACGCTGAGCAGGGGAATCTTTGAGCGAGCTGAGAACATGCGCGCACGCGCATGTTCAGCCAGACGCTGCAGCAGGGGAATCTTTGGAGTGTAAGAGGAAAGTGCGTGCCGCCACCAGAATCTTATTGCTTACTTGCTTTGCTGGGAGCTTACGAGGAAGCCAGTTGACATTGTGCTGCCAGGATAGCGGTCGCATCTGGCCTGATGTAAGCGGAGAAGGCCGAAGAGGACCAGCGCCCCAGCTGTTGCAGCGAAGAGTGGGGGAGCCCCAGCGAGGCCGCGCGCGTTGCAGTGCCTATCCTGAATGAGTGGGCCGTATAGAGCTGGGGAGACAAATTACAGAGGAGCAGTAGGGATCTCAGCTGAGCTCTGAACCAGTTTGCTGTCATGGGAAGGTGGTCTGGAGTGAGAAATAGAGGTCCGTTAGAATCTCCTTTCTTGCAGCGGAGGCGAGTGTAACGCATCATGGACTTGTAGGGGCAGAGAGATGTGTCGGAGCGAGCTATTATTATATTGCAGGCACCTTTGATTTTTGAATGTTTGAGATGAAGGTTGAAGTGGTCAGGGGACATTATGTTGGGTGAAAAAGAGCGACCTTTGTGTAATGCTTCCACTACGTCGAGATTATCACACGTGACAGAAATCCTCTTTCTCTGCCACGTGTGATTCCACAGCGCGCAGGCCACGACCACTGGGAATATCACGTGTAGGCAGAGGAGATGCTCCGGTGGAAAGTAGCGGCCACGCTCGGCAAACCAGTGGTCCTGGAAGAATCCCCCAAAAACCCACGGAAGGGGCAGCGTCTGTGTAGAAGCGGAGACCTGTAGGGGCAGAGACATGTCGGAGAGGGCCATTGATGTTGCAGGCGCCCTTACGCTTGAAACCTTGGGTTGGAGAGTAGAAATCAGGATAGTAGGATGGTCGGGAAAGCCGTGTCTCGGACCGCATGAAGGTTGAGTGAGCAATGGTGAAACGCTTACGCAGAGAAGCCATAGAAGGAGAGCAGGAAGATGCTGCGAGGAGGGCGGACATGTACTTGGGAGATGAGCCGGAGTTCAGCGCCGCTGCAGGATGGGCAGCATGATGGGGAGCCTGCGATCAGAAGAGTGAAGAATACAGGCATGGATGCCTTTGATTAGGAGTCCGATTGACGGCTCAGCGCAGCTACTCGGCCAGCTGCATCTGATAGAATCAGAAGATTCAGTAGAGAGATGAAGCACGACCGCCGAAGCGACCCTGGGAGCATAGGTGAGAGTCCGGCGCAGCGCGGCATACTCAGCCGGGCTGCGTCCATTAGAAGCAGGATAAGCTTCTGAGAGAGTGGGTTGCAGTAGCAGTAGCAGCAGCGGCAGCAGCAGTAACCTCAGATAATCACAGCAATAGTCCTGTATCAAGCCGCGGCAGCCGCAGTAGCAGCAGCAGCAGCAGCAGCAGCTTCCTTAGAAAATAACAGTAATAATTCTGTATCAAAGCCACAGCAGTAGAATGTTGTTGTAGCTGTTCAGGGTTTCAGTAAAAGAGATGCAAGTGAAGAGAGATGGCAAAGTAAATGAAGCAGCAGCAGCAGTAGTAGCAGCAGTAGCCGTATGAAGCAGCAGCAGTAGCAGTAGCAGAATGAAGCAGCAGCAGCAGTAGCAGTATGAAGCAGCAGCAGCTGCAGCATCCGTCGATAATAGCAGCAATAATCCTGTATCAAAGCCAGAGCAGTAGAATATTGTTGTAGCTGTTTAGTGTTTCAGTAAAAGAGATGCGAAGTGAAGAGAGATGTCAGGTACATGAAGCAGCAGCAGCAGCGGCAGCAGTAGCAGCAGCAGTAACGGTAGCAGTATGAAGCAGCAGAAGCAGCATTAGCAGGAGCAGCAGTAGCAGTAGGAAGCAGCAGCAGTAGCAGTATGAAGCAGCAGCAGCAGTTGCAGCATCTGTAGATAATAACAGCAATAATCCTGTATCAAAGCCACCGCAGTAGAATATAGTTGAAGCTGTTTAGTGTTTCAGTAAAAGAGATGCGCAGTGAAGAGAGGTGTCAAAGTAAAGAAGCAGCAGCAGCACGGCAGCGGTAGCAGTATGAAGCAGCAGCGGCAGCAATAGCAGCAGTAGCGGCAGCAGTAGCAGCAGTAGCAGCAGTAGCGGTAGCAGTATGAAGCAGCAGAAGCAACAAGCAGCAGCAGCAGCAGCACAATGCGATTCATACGAACAACAGACGTGTCACGCCAGCGTGCGCCGCTTGTCTCCGTGAGCCAGGTTACATACGTGTCTGAAGAGCCGAGCCGTAGAGACAGGTGCAGCCTGGGAGCCTGCGGAGCGGCAGCGGCAGGAACAGCAGCAGCGGCACGTGTAGTAGTAGGAGCAGCAGGAGCAGGCAGCAGGGACAGGCAGCAGCAGGAGCGGCAGCAGGAACAGGCAGCAGCGGGATCAGGCATCAGTAGGAACGGCAGCAGGGACCGCAGCAGCGGCGGTCAGAGAACCATGCCCACGGTTGTTTAAGAGCCTGAGGAAATAAATCAACCCGAATCCGAAACATTCCCATGCGAGAAACAGATGTCCCCTGGAGCCATCTTGCTGCTTTGGTTATGGTAGAACGCATGAACGATCACTGATCCATGCGTTCATTAGCTCCAACTCCACTTCAAACCCATTGCAGATTCACATTGGGCCCCTTTTCTTTCTGCTGCACTTTCAAAATGCAACAACTGCAGTTTAGTTACCCAATTTAATACTAGTGACCTAGCTATTTAAATGCATGGCCCCTCCTTCCTCCTGCAGATAGATGAATTTAAATACATTCATTTAACAATAGTGACTTGCGAGTAATGAGATTGATGCTGTAAAGATGGCGCCGTGGCAAGAGCTCTGTGTGTGCCGTCTGGAGCACGATGGGGTAGTCTTTGCACATTTTTTCCAACGTGGTTTTACTGCAAGTGGCAGAACATGAATCTGAATTAATGCACATTGCTCCTCTTATATCCCTCAGACATTGGAGATTGATGCCATTTAAGATGCATTGTCCCTCAGTTAGCTCAAACACGTGTAAAACGGAGCCTGCAGACCAAGCACGGGGCGAAAACTGACGCCTGCAGTCAAGTGCGTAGGGCAAAAACCAGCCGCCTGCAGCCTAGACTCCGGGATTAATCCGTCCGCGGTCGGCACACTCACTGTACTCACATGCCAGGAGACTTGGGAAAGCAACGGGACAACGCGGCACCGCCAGTCGGAGGCAGGGACACGCACGGCACCGCCAGACCGTCTGCGCGCGGCAGCAGACCACGAGGAACGAGCAGCACAGAACCGCGGAGGGGCCCCGCGGAGCAGCCCGCAGAAGAGCCCGCAGAGGAGGAGAGCAGTGGGGATATGCGAACCACAGCAGGTGCAGGGACGTGGAAGAGGAGCAGACCACGAGCAGCCAGACTGAGGACAGCAGGGCCACGCGCACGAGCAACACGTGAGCAGAAGCGACCCCTCCAGAACAACGCATGCATTTGCGAACAGGTGCGTTAGCGACATGCACCTTGCAAACTTCAGAAGACCGGGAAGTGGGCGTCTCCGGCTTTTAACTTGCTGTCCTGGTGGTTATTGGTTGACTGGATGTGGGCGTTGCTGGTATTGATGAGTCGAGGAAGAGCAGCCTGTGACCTGGGCAGCAGCAGCCGGGTCTACCACGGTGAACTTTCGCGAAAGCTCCATTTCTGTTGTGCTATGAGCTTTGCCCAAACACACCTCTCCCACAACAACCCACCCCAAGTCCAGTCTTTGGGCATATGGAGCATTGTTTGGCCCGTTGATCTGCTCACGTACCTTGTGTGCCCTGAGGATGTCCCTACCCAGGAGAAGAAGGATTGGAGCGTGATGATCAACAGGTTGAATTTTGTTTACAATAGGGAGAAGATGAGGATGATGTCTTGCGATTTCAGGTGAGGGTATTTCAGATCTGTCGTCAGGCACTGAGTCACATTCAATTAAAGGAGGCAGTTTAATGTTTGCCTTTCCGTCCATAGATTGTATGAAAATGTTAATTGCTCTTCTGCCCGTGACCTCTGCCCGGCCTGAACAGGTCTTCAGGGTGTATGGAGAAGGTGCTGATTTAATTCCAAACAGATCAAAAAACTCTGTCTTGGCCAAAGACCTATTACTCTGTTCATCAATTACTGCATACATTTTAAGAGCTCTCTCTTCTTGTCCTTCTGGGTATGCTTTCACTAAGCAGATCTTCGAACAAGAGCGCGGGCTTTCACTCTTACCACATACCTCTGTACACTTGGAGACAACTGCAGGAGGGCTTTCTGTTTTCTCCTCAGCGTCCGTACTCTCTGAGGTGTCGTTTTTGGGGACAGGAGTTGGACCCGGATGAAGTGCCGAGATGTGTCTTGAGCTGTTACACTCTGTGCACTGGACCGCCACTTTACAGTCTTTGGCAATGTGATGTGTGGAGCCGCAGCACCTGTAGCAGATGCGACGTTCTTTGAGGAAGGCTTGGCGCTCCTCAATTGACTTGTTTCGAAAGGTTTTGCATTTGTTGAGAGGGTGTGGCTTATTATGTATCGGACACTGTCGATCTGGTTCCTCTATTTTCCTTTGTTCAAAATCATTTTGTCTTCTCTCAGCGATGTCTGTACTGTGTACTGATACAGTAGCTTTGCGATTGTATGATGTGTGCTTTTCTGTGCGAGCAGGCTCTTGAAAGCTAGATACTGTGAAGCTTGGGTCATTTTTTATTTTGGCTTACTGCTGCACAAACTGCACGAAAACAGAGAACGGGGGGAAATAAACACTATGAGTCTCTTTGTATTGTGATCCCACAGAGGTCCACCTTTCCTGCATACTAAAGGGGAGTTTTTCAACTATTTGTCTTACCCCACGTGCAGTGTCGAGGTATGCCAACCCTGGTAGTGTACCGTCTGACTTGGCACACTGTAACTCCAATAAAATGTCACCAAGTGCTCTTAGTTTATGAGCGTCTTTGTTGGTGAGTCTTGGAAACTCTTCTATCTTTTTTAAGAGTGCATCCTCGATGGCCTCAGAGGAGCCGTAGCTCTCCTCAAGGCGTTCCCACATCATTTTGACACCGGCAGGAGGATTGAGAGAGTGTACTGCTCGGATCCGTTTAGCCTGTTCTGAGGACTTTGGCCCTAACCACTTTGTTAGTAAATCTAGCTCTTCTCTAGCTGCCAGATTTAAGTCTTTGGTTGCACTAATAAAGGACGCTTTCCATGCCCAATAGTTTTCTGGTTTGTCATCGAACTGAAGCAACCCAGAGCTTATAAGTTCTTTACGGATGAGATATTTTGCAAAATCGTATGCCCCATTTGAATCTGTTTGATTGTTGCTTGGGGGTTGGAATGTTTGGGCTAAAGGGTTTAAATACGTGAATGAAGGACCCATTTGTACTTTAGGTTCTTGTTTGACATTGTTTTTCAATAGTGCAGCTTCATTCTGGGCTGTAGTTGTAACTTTAATTGACTGAGGTACGACTTGGGAATCTAAAGCGTCAGTTCCTGCTGTAGAGTGTCCTACTAACTTACTGTGTTGCTCAACATAGTCACTGGTGCGCTGTGTCACATCAAATGGCTCAGCTTCAATTGAAAGTCTTATGTCTGACTCCCCGCTTTGACATTCCAACTCTTCATAGGCTGCAGCTTCAGCTTCTGTTGCAGCTATATCTTTTTTACATTTTAGAATGTGGAGATTAGCCTCTAGCTCTGCCTTCTGTTTCATTATTTTAGCCTCCTTTTCAGCAAAGGCAAGTTGTGCTTTAGCTGCTTGTGCTTTAGCGTAGGCTTTTATACCCGAAGAACTTGAAGATGACTGACTGCTTGGAGCCTTGAGTTTGACACTGCGTGGCTGCGGCCTCTCTGGCAGCGGCACTCTCTCCAATGATTGCCCAGTACGTTCTGGGAGGTCTTCACCGTTTGGATTCTCTCCTTCCACATCTGGCTGTGACCCTGCAGCTCCTTCATTCTGCTGCTCATAGTCTCTTAAATATTGTGTGCCTGAACGTAGACTCATGTTAGCTTTATGTAGCTTTGTGCTGCTTGAACCCGCTGAGTCGTCGTCTTTTTACTGTGCTGTCCTCACAACACGTGACCATGTGAAGCTAGACAGCCAGCGAACGGGAAAGAAACTCTGTAGACAAGGCTTGCTTTTCTTGTTTTATAGAGAATCTTGTATTTGGTCAATTCAATGTTACAAAAAATCACCAAAATCACCGTAACTGAAACAACAGGAAAAAGTGCGTCACTATCAACGGCTGTACACACGAATTTACATACAGTGCTAGCTAATCAGAAATAGCACAAACTTAACACTTCACACTTAACACTTTTGTGGTCCGAACATTGTGCTTGTGACATTAAATAATACTTACAAAGACGAAAGTTTGCCAAGGCTCAACACAAGAAAGCTCTCTGCGTTAAATGAGACGTTAGATTACGTGCTTGTACCAGTTACCAAGGGAACAAAGATTGTTGGAGCCAAACTGTAAGCTCAGGGCTTGCCACTAGAGGGAGTACGGGACCACTGTAGGGCAGGTGTTTAAGGAGCACTAATGAGACCTGTCAGAGCATGCTACCGGGAAGAAGCAAGTGTCCTTTGACCGTTTGGGATGGTTCTTTGTGCACTGTTTATTAAGATTTTAACGCCAAAATACATGAATTAAATGGGCAGTTTTTTAACCAATTATGAAATAAAATGTGATCCTTTTTAAACTAAACAAACGACTGGAAACACTTTTTAACCATCTACAACGCGTCAGAGGTAATTTCTGGTAGCAAATAGCGTCCTGTCAAAGCCAAGGGACAGGACATTACATTAAGTCAAAGGACAGCTTCATGTAAAGGGACAGTCAAAGAAAATCTGCGCGACCAGGTCTACAAGGACGCGGAACTAGGACTCCGCGGCACCAGGTCTACAAGGACGCGGGACCAGAGCGAGGACGCGGGACCAGGGCAAAGCCACGGGACCAGGACTCTGCGGGACCAGGATTCTGCGGGACCAGAGCGAGGCCGCGGGACCAGGACTCCGCGGGACCGGGACTCCGCGGGACCAGGACTCCGCGGGACCAGACTCCGCGGGACCGGGACTCCGCGGGACCAGAGCGAGGACGCGGCACGCGGGACCAGGTCTACGAGGACGCGGCACGCGGGACCAGGACTCCGCGGGACCACTGGATACACAAGGCGCCCAACGACTCTGCAGAGGTATGTGTAGCGCTACAAAATAATGGCCATTTAAGTGTGTACACACGCCTTAAGAACGTAAACCCAATGCATTGGTTTCGAAGCGATAAATAGAGTGCTCCACCGCGCACGCGCACTTATAATATCCTAACAAAATGGAACATCTTGAAAGTGAAAAGAACGGGTTAACCGTCGGCAATAACTGTCATGAAGAAATGAATGCTGCTAATGATGAAGGATTATCTGTTAAAGCTAAAAGACCAATACAGTTGTCTGCCAAAGCACGCGAGGAAAAAATAGAAAGACTGCAGGGACAAAGGAAACAATGGTTTAATAAATTAAAACAAAACCGGGAAAATGCCAAAGTATTAATGGAGAGTCATGATCTACATAGGGTAAAATCTGTGTATGAAAAAATGTCTTTTCTGTGTGGTGAAGTGTGCAATGTACATACATCTTTGATTTCTTTATTACCTGTGGATGAAAATGAAAAGCAAAGTGTGTGGTTTAAAGCCAAAATGTTGGTTGAGGACTCATTTATGTTTGAGGTAGATACATGGTTAAAACAGTGGTCCCGGGTTGAAAATGTGTCTCAGAGTGTCATCGTTCATGAAGTGAAACCAGAAGACAGTGTATCAAATGTTTCAAAAGGGTCAAATAAAAGTGGAAAATCTACAACCTCGGAGCGTATCAAAGCCGAAGCGGATCGGGCTGCACTCCTGGCTCGCATGTCAATTTTAAAGAAACGTCATGAATTGGAAAAACAAGAGGAACTGCTGAGAAGAAAAAAGGAAATGCTTGATTTGGAATGTGAAGTTGAAGCTTCAAACGCAAAAATTGCAGTTCTACGTGCTGCTTCGGAGTGTGGGAGCAAGTCGAGAAAAACCAGCATTGTGACTCTTACAACAACAAATAAACTTGGATGTGCCACTACACTAAACCCAGACGTCCAACCATTTATACCAATGTGTAACAACCTGGAAACAAGGTCATCTGTTTGTGTAAAACAAAGAGTGGAACCAAAGACAACAAGTGTGGCAGCCCAGCTTATTGATGATGCGTATGACAATGGACTGCCAATCAGCACTGCCAATCAGCAACTAGAGCCTCCATCGCAAGCACAAGACCTATTTGCTATTATGCACAGGCAAAATGAAATAACAGCAGCTCTTGTGGAACATCAGCGTACTATGTCCTTGCCAAATCGAGAGATTCCGGTGTTCGACGGGGATCCTTTACAATATCTGCGATTCATAAGAGCATTTGAACATGGAATAGAGTCAAAGACAAATAAAGCAGATTGCTTGTATTTTTTGGAGCAATTTACTACAGGGCAACCAAGAGACCTTATCCGCAGTTGTCAGCATATGGCTCCAGAGAGGGGATATGCTTTGGCTAAAAACCTTCTGTATGAAAACTTTGGTAATGAGTACAGAATTGCGGTATCATATATTGACAAGGCAATGGCTTGGCCGACTGTGCGCTCAGAAGATGTCAAGTCCCTGCAAGCGTTTTCCTTGTTTTTAAGAAGCTGCTGCAATGTGATGGAAGAGCTGCAACACATGCAAGAACTAGATATGCCTTCAAATATGAAGAGTATTATTGCAAAATTGCCATTTAGAATGAGAGACCAATGGAGATCAAAAGCTCATGACATCCTGGAAAGAAATAAAAATCGGGCAAAATTTAAAGATTTGGTACAGTTTCTGGAAAGACAAGTCAAAATATTGTCTGACCCTCTTTTTGGAGATATACAGGATCAGGTCCAAACCAAGGGAGTAAGCAAAGGTACTACAAGGTCATTACTCAGTAAAGGCAATAGCTTTGCTACTGTCATGACCGCAAATGAAATGAACTTTTCGACCCGCGTCTCAACTGAGGAGAGGTCCGTAAAATGTATGTGTTGCAATAATAACCATGACATTAAAGATTGCCCCACATTCAAAACTATGAAGCATGAAGAAAAGATTGGGTTACTAAAGGAGAAGGGTCTTTGCTTTGGTTGCCTCAGCGGCGGACATATAAACAAAGATTGTAAGAGCCGCATGACTTGCTACACTTGTGAAAGAAAACACCCTACTGCGCTTCATATGAATAGGAGAAGGAGCGCTGGTACAGATCAAATTGCTGAGGAAAATACAGTTGCCTCGTTATCCTCTGCAGAGATATGTGGTCATACAGGGGCCGGAAGAGCTGACTGTGGTCTTTCTGTTCTACCTGTCAAAGTGAAATCTATGAAAGGAGACAAGATCATCCAAACTTATGCATTTTTAGATCCTGGCAGTACAGCTACATTTTGTTCCGAACGACTTATGCAGCAACTAAATCTTAGTGGGAAAGCAATTAATTTTCTCTTAACCACAATGGGGCAGCAAAGACTCGTTTCCACCCATGTACTTAATAATCTGGAAGTGGCAGGCTTGAACAGTCAACTTTTCTATGAACTTCCTGATGTTCTCACACAAAGAGAGATGCCTGTGAATGATAGCAACATCATAACAGAAGAAGAGTTGTTGCAATGGCCATATCTATCTGAAATTAAGATCCCTCGTTTAAATTCCAAAATTGATCTGCTAATAGGAACCAACGCGCCAAAGTTACTTGAGCCTTGGGAGGTTATAAACAGTTGTGGAAATGGTCCGTATGCTTTAAAGACAGTCCTAGGATGGGTGGTAAATGGACCACTCCAGGAAACAAAAAATGTTGGCCAAAAAACTGGTCTCCCTGTGGCAAATGTAAACAGAATTTCGACTAGTAAACTTGAAGAATTGTTGAATCTTCAATATAATCATGATTTCAATGAGCAAATTGTACACCAAAGAGCAATGTCAAGAGAAGATTTTAAATTTCTTGACATTATGGAAAGTTCTGTTACGGTAAAAAATGGTCACTACAGTGTAAAGTTGCCTTGGAAAAGGGACAAACATCTACTCCCAAATAACTTCGGTGTAATCAAGCAAAGACTTTTTGGACTCAGGCGACAGTTCAGAAAGGATGAACAGTTTCATACGGAATATAGAACATTCTTTTGCGATATGATCAAAAGGGGTTACGCTGAAAAGGTCCCTACACATCAGTTAAAGGTAGAAGACGGAAATGTATGGTATGTACCACATCATGGAGTTCGCCATTCAAAGAAGGGAAAGCTGCGTGTAGTGTTCGACTGTGGAGCTGAATACAAGGGAATGTCATTAAATCAGCATCTGTTGCAGGGCCCAAACTTGACAAGCTCTCTGCTTGGCGTTCTAATCCGGTTTCGCCAGGAGCCTGTGGCTTTCATGGGGGACATAGAGGCAATGTTTTATCAAGTTAGAGTGGCGCAGGAGGACAAAGATTACTTCCGATTCTTGTGGTGGCCAGATGGGGATCTTAACCTTGATTTTGAAGAGTACAGGATGAACGTTCACGCCTTTGGAGCTGTGTCTTCCCCCAGTTGCGCTAGCTTTGCTCTTTTAAAAACCGCAAAGGATAATGCTGCTCACTATCATTCCACGGTGATCGATACTATAAAGCACAACATGTATGTCGATGATTGTTTGAAAAGTGTTCCTTCTGAGCTGGAAGCGGTAGCCTTGGTCAAAGACTTGACAGAGGTTTGTAAAAAAGGGGGCTTCACTTTAACAAAATGGATCAGTAATAGCAGGATGGTCTTGCGAGCAATGAAAGGTGAGCATCGATCTAAAGAATTGGAAAGTTTGGACTTGGATCGTGATCAACTTCCAATGGAGAGGGCTCTAGGACTGGAGTGGTGCGTAGAGACTGACACCTTCAAGTTTCACATGACACTGAAGGAACAGCCCCTTACAAGGAGAGGGGTGCTGTCTGTTGTTAGTTCAATCTACGACCCCATTGGATTTCTGGCTCCAGTCATATTGCCTGCCAAAAGGTCTCTCCAAGAACTCTGTCGTAGAGGCTGTGGCTGGGATGAGGTCGTACCAGACGACATAAAACTTTGCTGGACGAAATGGCTGGCCAGTTTGCACAAACTCTCATCATTTAAGGTAGGAAGGTGCATAAAGCCGAAGACATTCGGACCACTTAAATCTGCGCAACTGCATCACTTTTCTGATGCTAGTGAGGATGGGTTTGGTGTTGTCTGTTACATCAAAGTCGAAAGTGAGAAGAATCATACTCACGTTTCCTTTTTGCATGGAAAAGCACGAGTCACCCCATTGAAAAGCGTTACTATCCCTCGTTTGGAGCTTACCGCTGCTGTTCTTGCAGTCAGATTAGACCAGATGTTGAAATCAGAATTGGAGCTACAGTTAAGTCCATCAGTATTTTGGACAGATAGTACCTCAGTGCTAAGGTACGTTCGGAATGAGAACAAACGCTTCCATACATTTGTGGCCAACCGAATTTCAACTATTAGAGAAGCTACTGAGGTTTTTCAGTGGCGTTATATCAACACCAAAGATAACCCTGCTGATTTGGCTTCAAGGGGCATGAAGATTGAAGAGCTGTTGTACGATCACAGATGGATTGAGGGTCCAGAGTTTCTCGTTGGAAGGGAGCAAGAGTGGCCCAAGCCAATATTGGATGACTCCACGACTGTGGATGATCTAGAAGTTAAAAGGGAAGTGTTTACAAACGTTATGGTCAAAGAACCTGGCACTCCCACAGAACGATTGATCACCTATTTTTCAGATTGGCATAGATTGAAGATTTCAGTGGCATGGCTTCTACGTTTTCGTCACATGTTACTAGAACTGAGTCGCAGAAAGAAAGATCGGACTAATGGTGAGCATGGAGGAAAACCCGAACAAGGGTTTAGTGATGAGGTCAGACCGTGGTATTTGTCCTTGAAAGAACTAGTGACAGCAGAATGTGCAATTCTCAGGTTTTGCCAAAATATAAGATTTCCAGAGGAGATTGCTTTACTTAATTCTGCAAGGCAAATCCCGAAAAGCAGTCAAATCTACAAACTAGACCCATATATTGATAGTGGACTTTTGAGAGTTGGTGGAAGACTAAGCAGAGCCTCGTTGCCTGAGGAGTCGAAACATCCCTTCATTTTGTCCAAAGACCAGCATATTTCTAACCTAATATTGCAGCATACTCACAAGCAACTGGGCCATGGTGGCAGAAATCACACTCTGGCCATGTTGAGAAAGAGGTTTTGGATCACCAGAGCAAACTCCGCGGTGAGGAAAATCATATCTGAATGTATTATATGCCGGCGTTTTAACGGAAGGCTTCTTAGTCAGAAGATGTCTGACTTGCCATTAGAGAGGGTGTTGCCGGATCTACCTCCATTTACAAACGTTGGAGTGGATTACTTCGGACCATTTGAGGTTAAGAGGGGCCGTACTCTTCATAAGAGGTATGGTGTGGTTTTCACTTGCCTATCAAGTAGGGCTGTCCATCTGGAAGTGGCACCGTCTTTGGACACAGATGCCTGCATTAATGCAGTTCGAAGGTTCATTAGTAGACGTGGTCAGGTGACTCGCATACTCTCTGATAATGGCACTAATTTTGTTGGAGCTGTAAGAGAATTGAGGGAGACATTTGCTTCACTCAACAAAGATCGCCTTCAACGAGATCTGCTCCATAAGGGAGTACAGTGGAGCTTTAACCCTCCCGCAGCCTCGCATTTTGGAGGTGTGTGGGAGCGAATGATTCGCATGATCAGAAGAGTCCTTCACTCAGTATTGAAGTTGCAAGCATTGGATGATGATGGATTAAATACTGTGTTTTGTGAGGCAGAGGCTGTGTTGAATAGTCGACCCATCACAAAACTTTCTGAAGATCCTAACGATCTGGAACCCTTAACTCCAAATCACATCTTGCTTATGAAAGGCAAGCCGTCCCTTCCTCCAGGAGTGTTCGATGAACAGGACATTTACGCCAAAAGACGCTGGAAACAGGTGCAATATCTTGCCGACATCTTTTGGAAACGTTGGGTTAAGGAATATCTGCCTCTTCTTCAAGAGAGACATACCTGGAATCGCAAAAGAAGAAACTTAAGGTCTGGAGATGTGGTTGTAATTGCCGATCCGGGAGCCCCACGTTGTTCATGGATGCTTGGTAGAGTGCTGGAAACATTCCCGGATAAGAAGGGATTTGTTCGCTCAGTGCGTTTAAAAACAAAGACAAATGTTCTGGAGCGGCCAGTTTCCAAATTATGCCTTCTACAGGAAGCTCAAAATGAATCTTCAAAATCAATTTGTCTTGTGTAAGACCATAAACTACATCCGGCAGTGGAGTTCTTGAGCTAAGGGACAGGATGAGGTTACCCTGAACCACTGCTACCTCCGGGCGGCCCTTGGCAAAGGCCTAGCACCTGGTTTGCCCCCTGCCTGGGTACGGTGAAGAGGACCACCCAGGAGGCTTACCGCCAAGTATGTCAGATGCTGGTTTTATTCATGGTTTGGCTCTGCGTATCAGGGAAAATTGTTTCAGAGTATCTTCAACAATCAGGGGCCGGAGTGTTGGAGCCAAACTGTAAGCTCAGGGCTTGCCACTAGAGGGAGTACGGGACCACTGTAGGGCAGGTGTTTAAGGAGCACTAATGAGACCTGTCAGAGCATGCTACCGGGAAGAAGCAAGTGTCCTTTGACCGTTTGGGATGGTTCTTTGTGCACTGTTTATTAAGATTTTAACGCCAAAATACATGAATTAAATGGGCAGTTTTTTAACCAATTATGAAATAAAATGTGATCCTTTTTAAACTAAACAAACGACTGGAAACACTTTTTAACCATCTACAACGCGTCAGAGGTAATTTCTGGTGGTGCAGCAAATAGCGTCCTGTCAAAGCCAAGGGACAGTCGCGCGGTGCGGCGAGGGCCGTTCGACGCCGCTTGCGGCTTTAATTTTATTTTATTTTAGTCAACAAAAATATTTCTCACCATGATTTTCTTCCTACTGTATAAAGACATTATCATGTAGAAACCTACAGCTTGTACAAATTGTTTTCTAGTGCTAGTACTTAATGTACTTCACAACTATGACGACACATTTTTCATAGTTTTATTAAATGTTCCATTCTAGAGCTGTATTTGCTTGTTAAGACAGTGTGAGATTGTATTCTCAAAGTTGATAAATGAAACTGAAGCAGACAGAACAGACTAGCAGAAATTTGGATTTTAAACGCCCTGCGCACTTGCCTTACTTCTGTGTCTCAAAGTGTCACGTCTCCTGTGCTTTGATGTACGGCCATGCGGTGCCACCTCAAGCACGAAAAGCGGTGTGTGCCCTTGATGTTTGCTGTACAACCCAGTCCGTTCTCTCCTGTGTGTAAGGCATGTCTTGATTAGGGCTGTATTAATTTATTATTCTTTTGATTAATAGATTTGTTGTCAAGATCCCAAAAGATCACTGAACATGGCAAAACTGAAAACACCTAAAAATATATGTATCAAAAAAACATTTTTTTCTCAAAAGCAATTAATTTTGATTAACTTGTTACAGCCCTAGTCGTGATAATTTATTTTTATGGAAGATACATTGCTTCAGAAAGTTATTGAAATAAAATTATACATATAAAACTACTTTATGTCACTAACGCAAGTACGACACACAGACACTGGGACAGAGCATGTGCTTGCACAAAGCAGGCTGTAAACAGCATAGCGTTTCCAACGAGTGAATCAGAAAAAAACATTTCAAAAAACTAATGTAGAGCACAGGGCCAGTGCATCAGGAGGTGAACACATGAATAATGTAGTGGTGACATTTTACTGAAATATGAAACCTGCATTTCAATAACAATAACATAAATTCCTTAATAATTATGCAGCTTTTGCAACTAACATAAATATTACGTTTACATTGTATTGAGTAATTTGAGAAAGTAACCATTTCCTTGAGGCAAAAAATATGTAATTGAAGCTTTTGATTTATTTGAATTAACAATTAGATTTATATTAGGGCTGAAGCAATCAAAGTATTATACATAATGCAATAAAATAACCGTCCCAAAAGGAAAACAACTTTTTAGGACGGTTCTGTCCAAGTTTTGCATGGTATAGACCAGGGGTCCCCCAGCCCCTTTCAGGTAGCTCCCCATAGGATTTAGAATTTAACACATGATCCTGAATGATTCAATTATATGTATAAATATAGGATTATACAATATTGGAAAATTTTACATGTGTTTTCTATGTTGTGTCCTATTATGACTGCAAAATGGAGAAGCTCTCTGCCTCTTCTGTTGTATTGTTGTATAAAAGTACCGCTCCGATTCAAAAAGGTTGGAGACCCCTGGTATAGATCAACTGTTCCCTATGGCTGTTACTGTCCCACCCACTGTCAGATTGGAGAATTGGAGTTTACTACCCTTTCTAGAGCTGTGACCCAGGGATCAGGCCCTTATTACAAACTCCATATACATAGCTGGCAATTGAATGAAAGTGGGTAAAATTACAATGTACACATCATGTAATCGAAAAGGACAGTTTGCGCTAGGTCTAAGGTAATAACAGTTAACATTACTAAAATAGTTGACGATTACCACAACATTATTTTCTTCATTTAAGAGAACTAGGATGGAGTTTAGTCATTTGGCGGAGTTTGTGTCTACGGAAGACACGCACCCTACGGAGGTAGACCTTCCACCATTACGCCTTTATAACAAGGCTTTTCATGGTTGAACCAGTCTGTTGTGTGATCCATGGCTCATAAAGCCTTAATAATAACAATAGTGCTCAATTAGGATCTAACGAGTTACGACAGAAGGACTTGAGATTGATACTGGTTTGTATTTCAAACTTCCCTCGGCTGTATTTTAGTTACAAAGTTACACCCATAAGCAGTAAGAACAAGCTATCGTATGCTAACGAAACTTGCCAACAACAACCTGTCCATCTGTCCGGCTGCGAACCAGAGGCTAACAACCCACGGCTAATCGTTTTTGCTCATCATAAGAAACGGGTCAAAGTTAAAGTAAATAATTGAAACTATGTAAAATTTAGTTAAGCAGCATTTTGGGTATGTGCCACAAGAAAGTGTATCCACATCCAAATAGCGATACATGACAGAAAGACAATGAAATCGGCCCCATCTCGGCAAGCCGCTAGTGTTAAAAGGCTAGTATTTGGCTAAGTTAGCATGCTAATGCTACTCCCTGGACATCCGCTTGCCCATACGAACAGTCGCAAAATATATTCACAAATAATCAGGCTCTAATACCCAAATATAAGACACTTGTTCCGTCTCTTCACAACATCACTAAAAGAGCTCAATATCACAGTGTTATTACTTGCATATATAACAAATCCTCCACATGTTTGTGGCAGAAGTTAGTGGAAATTTGACTTTAAGGCGGATTGTTCTCGGAGTGCGCACTAGGTGTATGTGTTCAGGAGGCGACACACGAACTGTTACCTCTCACGATAGCAGATCAAGCTATGCTAGTTAGCATTACAGAGCTAACATCGATATAGAAACTTCCCTTCGGCACCTCAGTGTACACTAACTGCTGGATTAACGCTTGGATTAGTTTCGATATAAAATATATAAAACTCACGGTGTTTAGGGGGCTCTATCGAGTACCCCGCGATACTCAGTAGTATGATGTTCGGATCTCTCTGGATTTGGTGTAAAATCCCGGGGATCCCCTCTCTTCTGTCCACTGCCACTCCGGCTGCCAGATAATGTAACGAGCCACCACAGGCAGCGTCATGCTGCGTTCACACTCACCTCGGAAATACAAGTTGAACTAAAGACAGAACAAGGCCAGGCGTTTAGAATAGGAACACTAAAATACTCTTGACAGACATGACTTCATCATAGACCAATAAATATACTAAATTATAGAATCTATAATTTGGTCCCTTATTTAGACCCCTGTATTCTTACCATAGTGCGTGATAGAAGTTAATGTTAAGAAATCACATGTAAGCTTAATTTAGGGAATAATGAGTTTCACAATGTATCGACCACGTCATCTCCACACAATAATTTGTGGGCCAGTGATGGTTGTCAGTAGAGCTGCTTAAACAACAACTATTTGGATTTTTACTTTTTTTTTTTTTTTACTTTTATCACTGTGACAAGTTTAAACTGATGAAAAAGAGAGAGGTTGCTGAATGTGGTGAGACATTGAAGGATGAACCCTTGATGGCTGTAAACAAACATTTCATCCATCCATTTTATTCAACTTTATCTGCCAGAGGCAGCAGTCTGAACACACTTCCTACAGCTCATCTAGGTGATTTCCAAGGTGTTCTTTGGATCCTGATACTTCTCTCAGGGAGGCTCTCTCTACGTGGATGAGTAGCAGGTCTACTATCAGAATATTATATATGACCATCTACAACATAAATGGAAGTCTAAACCTTTTAAACATCCCTTTTAACAATGTGCACAGTTTATGTTCTTTCAATTACTTCAGTCAAATTAGTGAATTACTCAAAAGCACTATTGTGAGCTATTCAATGACATTTACCGACACAAAACATTTGTATTCAAAAGTTCTTATACTGTAATTTTATTGGAAAAATTCTTGAGAACAAAGTACGCTTTAAAATAGGTGTTGGATAGAATATGGCTAGTAATTTAAATATCAAGCAGTAAGATTTCTACAAAGAATAGCTAAAATACAGAACACATTTTTCCTAAATTGACTTATAAAATGTCACTGTACATTAGGGTCAATGAGTGGCAAATCTATACAAACTGTAAAGAAACCCCATTCAGTTTTAACTACTCTGGCAAACAATTAACTCTGGCTATTTGACCCAAAAAAGTCAGAACGAAGAACTTAAGCATGATGTTAATGTTTCAAATATTTGCAAGATAGTCAATATAATACACAACTTAAAATTACATTTAATGTGTTAAAAAATAAGTGTCATCTCCTGTAAGTGTGCAATCTGAAAAGACTGCTTATAACCAAGCAAATGGTGACATCTTCTGGTCCTTACAGGAATTGCAGATACTGAAAATGTTCCATTTTGCCACATGCAGCAAGAACCAATTGAACGAATCATCTGGCTAAAATCTATTAGTCTCTACATTTGGAAATATCCACCTTTTCAAAAAATAAAAGGGTCAAAGCATAGCCCAAATCAGTAACTTCCATGCATGGAAAACAAATATCTACAAAAAGGCAAGGCGTAAAATATTTACGAACAGTTACAAAAATACAAAACAAGATGGAATAAATTAATTTCTTCTACATTTCATTGCTGCCAATCAAAGTTCAGTTTCCTTTTAGTGAAAAGGAAACTAAACTTAGGAGAAAGTTTCTGGATCTTGCCACTCCTCTGTGCACTTAAATACCTTGGCCAGCAATTGTACCCCATGCCATCAGTGAGCCACAGATGACCATTGTAAAACTATAAGCAACTTGAAAAACAGTAGATCATGGCTTCTTTACAATCTTGATAAGCCACACTGTCAGAAAAATCACGTTTTAGGCAGCAGTTCATTGGACTGAATGATCTATACTTCTATAATATACTGAGTCCTCATAGTAGGCTTGCCAGGCTTGTGTTGGGGCCATTCTGGGCTTGGATTTGGACAGGAGGGGGGCCATCGGTCCACTTAAAACAAAACAAGAAGTGTAAATCAACACATGTTAATAATGAGAATAAATTATGAGTTTATGTTACTTACACTGATGAGGTTATGCTCAGGAAGGCTGCACGCCGCAATGTGATCCTGCAGAAGCTGCTGTGAGAAGTTCTGATGCATCTGCGCTGCTTCATGGGCATCCATTGTGTTCCCAAGAGCCTTGTTCAAGTCTGCACAACACCAACAGTTTAGCGCATGTGATATCAAACTTTGACATGCACATTCAATATTTTAGTAAGATAAGATAAGCTTGATTGATCTCGCAATGAAGAAATGTTCATGTCCCATTTGGTAGATAGAATCACTCAGATTGCACACTTTTGTCTTCTGCACAAACATGTTGAGGTTAAAAATATAGTCTGTGCAGGATATATTATATACAATAAAATTGCAGTGCTGGTTTCTTCAGTCCTAGTGCAGGTAGTTAGTGACTTAAAGTGACTTATTGTACATTGTAATCCAACAATCTTTCAGATATTAGTTTAGATTAATTGAAAAATCTATTGTTTTTGCATCCTTAAATGCATCAAGTGTTAAACAAGATGTTAATCTTCAATGTAAATGTAAGTCTGCTTGACCCCTGGTTCACTCTGACGTGACTTTGGTGAGCGCAATCTTTCCGTACAAAAGAAAGTCTGCAGCGCGCAATATCAGATTTACCACCAACAAACAAAAGGAAAAGTGCAGTAGTGTCATGTAATCCCAGGTAGTTTATATAGCAGTGGTTACCAATATTTATTCTCAAAATGCAATACTTTCAATCACCAAATTGTAAATGTTTTACACATTTCTTTCCAACCATCATATTATGTAATGTATATTATGTAAATATATGCTAACCATTTTCTTAGATTTAACTGATTCAATGTTTTCCCGGCTATTCTTTCAAACCAGATATTGAGAAAGGGACCTGAGCACTTAATAGTATAGTATAGTATAGTATAGTATACGTTCACCTTTCAAAAGCGCAGACGACCACAGCTGAACTGACATGTCGGGAATTTTGCTGGCCAATTGCATTGCAGGAACCACCATGTTGTTACTTTCCTGAGGAAAAATAAAATAAAAATTGGCATCTATTTCCACACAAAGACGCTTACACAAACATTCTTACTCTGTGGTTGCCGAGAACATAGAAAATATGACCCAGTAGAACCAAGGAGCAGGCAGTTAGTCTGTTGAGGTCCTCAGCATTAGACATTTTCAAAGTCTCTCTGAGGAAACGCCTGCAACATAATAAACAATAAAAATGTGAAGCAATAAAGAATCTGTCAAATCAAGACAACTGGTAAATTGTTTCCATACTTGGCCTCATTGTAGCGTCCCTGAAAGAAAGACAGCAATCCCCTGATGTAGAAAGCTGCTGCACGTAGGCAGTGAGAGCTGCACAAAAGACCAACTTTCAATAAAAATGTCTAAAACAAAATTAAACAATCCCTTGCAGCTTCATAAAGGATGTCATAAATAGAACTTTACCTGACAGGAAAGTTGTGGTCTGGGTTTATCCTCTCTAGCAGGCTGTACAACTAGAAAAAAAGAGAAGTTTAACCATTATTTCAAACAATACCTCAAATTCCAATCATAGAACATCCAGCATCCATTATCAAACACACAGAAAGTATAGGAATTATTTTGATGTTATTGACTCAAATAAAATTACTACTACTAAATACACAAGTGTTAATTTCATTTAAAAAGATTCATCAACTTTTATGAAAATGCGGTTAACATGTTCAAACCAAATATAGATGATAAATATATTTCTGATCAAATTATTATTGATGAATATGAATAATAATTAACGAGCCTGCAAAGTGCTTTACAAGTGCACATATATTGTAGAGTCTCTCAAAGCGCTACACTGATGTCATTATCCATTCACTCCACTCTGGTGAGGCAGTCTGTGCCATGAGCCCCTTGGACTGCCAGTCATTCACTCACTATCACCAGATTTGCGGCAGGCTTTTTGGGTGATTGGATGAGGCGGAAAGAAATTAGATTAGTTGCCGATTTAAAAGTACGGTATGTGTAGTGAGAAATCATAGACTGAAGTAGTGGATGTAACAACCACATTGTAGAAGTGAATCAACATAAAATAATAAAGCGGAACCGTTTTCTACATTATGACCATTATGAGCTTCAAATGTCAGTTTTATCCTGGTTTTTCTAATACAAATACAATAACAAATGAAAACATGGTCGACTGGTAGATGACATGGTTGAACTAGATTTGCATTGGTCGACTAGGAGAAGGCTACTTCATAAAAATAAAAAAAAGTTAAGTTAATTATTTGCATTATTTTTTTATTTAAAAAAAGTGGCAGCATTTGATTTACCAGTAAAATTATAAATACGTTTTCAGAGGCAGCTGCAGGCTCTGTGCTGGATTTGCGTGCAGGCGGGAGACCGTGCCCAACAGATTATCAATTTAAATTGTAGTCGTGTCCTCTAATCTAAACTTTGGATTATCAATAATGATAAAAACAATGTACCATAGAGGAATGAGTACTCAATGTTTTCTTTTGGTCGACTAAGTGCTGCCTGGACGACTTACAAATTTGTTGGTTGACTAGCCAGACCCATCCAGCACTTTTTTCAACAGCAAGAGAATGAGTGTGCATATTTGTACTCTATTTCCACTCTTTAACTAACCTCTTGATGCCGGTTTCCTTCTCTTATGTAAACACTTGCCAAGTTTGTCACAATATACGTCCAGAGTTCCTGATGTGTCGTGAGCTGCCGACAAAAGACAAAATGTTAAGAGAGCAGGACAGACGTGATTTAAACACAATTTAGAAATAGTTACCCGTAATGCCGTGGTAAACTGGGCCTCAGCGTTATCCATGCAGTTCACAGAAATACAGTAGAGGCCCTGTAAAAGATAATAAATTCAACAAACCAACTACAAGTTTGAGGAGAGTCATTTCCAACAAACAATTGAAAAGAAAAAAAACTCACTAAAAGTGTATGAAGTTGAGCAGCATGATTTGTAAATAATCTTGGAGACTGTTGACAGAGCTGGCACACTTGAGAAATCTGAAATATGAACAGAACAATGAAACTCATTTATTACATGCTTCAACTCAATACAAATATACATTTGAGTTAATAGAACAGGATAGCTCCAGGTTTATTCAGATTTTTTTGGAAACCCAATGCAACCCTGGATAGGGAGAGAGCATTGAGTGCTCATTTTTATCCAACAATACACAGCTTTCTTACCCTTCTAATCTTTTTGTTTTAAACGTAAACAAAATTTAATCTTTTCCAGAAAATGTATTTTTTTCTTTAGAGGTTTTCCACATCTGTAAAAACTTTTGTATCACTCAAAAAGAACTGAAGACTACTTTACTAAACACCCAAGACTACAAAACACCATTTTGAACTGTTGGACCAAAATGGTAGGATTTAGCCCAAAGTTTGGTCAAGTCAAATTTAATAAATGTTTAAAGACCTTATAATGCTGTTTAGAGAGAACTGAATGCCACCATTGCAGGTAAACAACTAACTTTTATGAATTTGATTTTAACGGCATACAAATTGTGAGGTATTGTGAGTTATATATTGTTCTTCAACTGTTAGTTATCATTTCTTTTTAAACATTTATTTATTTATTGTTTAATTAAATTAAATATCTTTTAATGATTTCAATATTTTGCGACGATCCTGCTGGGGAAAACAGTGAGTGATTTAACACCACAACTTAAAAAAGGCAATCTACCTCCTGTAATGCAGTGGCTTTGTGGCCCGTGACGAGTCGGCACATGATGATGTGCTCCAGGAGAATAACTTGGAAAGTAGACAGGATAGGGCTGCAGTCCAACACTAAAAGATCACATCAATTATGAACATAAAGAATAGTCAATGTGGAAAATATAACATCAAATTTAAGTAAAATATTACTTTTTAATTTCTCCAGTTGCATTAGAGCTTTGTCTGTATACTTCTGAGCCTTCTCAAGATAGCCAGCTTGCATCGAGTGCATCACGGTCACCTATTAATAGCACAGAAAATGATTAAAGATTATATACAGAAAATGTGCATGAAAATAACACTATTGCTATAGAAATAATACAAATAGCTATAATGACTGCACACATGTGCCAGCTCCAAATCATTTTAAATCAAGGGTGATCATGCACATGGATGAAAAGTTCTCTTACCAAGTACACAAGGACACACATGTGCTCTTTGGGCAGCCAGTGAAAGAGGTCAGCTGGGTTACTGGGCAGAATCTCATCATCATGGAGAGTGGAGATTGTCTGAATGCACTGCTGGAGCTGCTTGAGACATGGCTTCACACTCTTGACCTGAGAGGACAGCAACATGGCATGGTAAGAAGTGTCTAAAACATGTGTCAGATTGTAAAAGGATTACCTGTCCGGCGTCTAAGTAGTGTGTAACCTGTAGGACCAGGAAGAAGACTCTCAGAGACTCCTTTTGAATAGGATTCCCCTGCCAATTTTCAACAATATTCCCACAAAGTGTCAAGAGAGGGTGTACTTCTGCAAGCTTTCTCTCCATTAGCAGCAACTACAGAAGGCAAAAAGCATGTGTAAAAATGGCACACACCATCAGAACATGTACCACTCAAAATAATGCAAATCTTACCATTCCTTTGCTTAGCAAAAACAATGCCCTGAGCGCAAAGAAAAAAAACATGTTTTTAAAAAAAATTCATAATCAATAGAATGCTCCAAAAAGATTTAAATCTATATACCTAGTATATTCTGACCCAACCACTCGGGCATATTCTGCGCCCACTCCCAGCAAGTCACAGGCTGAAACCAAGTCTTTCTCCAGTGTGTGAAGTTGCTACAAGAAAACACAATAACATTTTATTAGACAATAAGGTCAAAGACTTAAGAGAAGTCTATTCAAAAATAGATAAAATACTTACAGCCAACTGGAACAACAACCGGCAGTGCCAGTATGGTGTCTGCTGAGAAATCTGAATGGCCTTTCGAAGGAGAGGTTTTGCAGAATCAACCAAATTCTGTAGTGCATAAATAATTGTGATTATTACTACATAATAACTTTTAATGGGGTCAAAACGATAGACGCATTGTATTATAAAAACACATGATGAAAACTTAGCTTACCTGTTGGCAAAAAAGTTCAGACAAAATGCTGGCAGCTTCAAATTTAACATCTTCAAACTGAGGGAGTTGCTGGGATATAAACCACTGCAATAATTAGGACACACATGTTACAAAAATGGCAGTAGTTTTACCCATAAAAACAAACTACTACTGAGGCCAGAATAACACTATTAGCCAAGGATAATTCAACGCAAGATCAAACCAACCCGCTATCCTTAAAATCGAAATAGCACGTAATTAAAGGCTGCATTTCATTGAGACATTATAGGAAGACCATGACTGTGCTAGCTCGCTTTTGTTGCTTGCGGCCTAAAGCAGTGGTCCTCCATGTTGAATCCACGGTGTTTCCTGAGTGGGACGTACCGCTTTCTCCAGGTGGCTGCGGGCGAGCTCGCTGTTCTTGGTGTGGTGGTAGAGCACCGAGCCGAGCTGGAGGTGAGTACGGGCCTCAATCCGCTGCGGGGGTTTGAACTGGAACACTGCCTGTAAACAGTGTACACACAGTCGGATTTTGGGCGGACTGGAGGTTCGGAAGTGTTCGGCAAACCCGAGAAGGGCGAGGTACCAGCGCTCCGGGGCCTCTACATTAGACGCCATTTTGCCCGACAACAACAAGTTTTTCAGAGCTGTGACCAGGCTCGAGGGTTGCCAGTTCCTTCTGTTACAACAGATGAACTCATTTGAAGCGCTATTTCAACTTATTTCTTGAAGAAAAGTAAAATAATAAATGGGCAATGACTTTTCGTATTCATTAATTTTCAATCAACATATTGAACTAATGTACATACATAATTTACATTTGCATAAAACACACAAAACTAAAATACAGATCAACAACCTACGCAAACATAACAAAACGACACAGGGAACATCACATTAAATTTTATATTAGTATAATTTTAAGTGCATTTTTTGGGGGTCGGACATAACTGACAAATAGATGTCAGTTATGTCCACTTGGGAATAAGTGGACATAACTGACACCTATATTTGTGGTGGAGCAACCACTGCCTCTGGACACCACATGGACACCGTAGACTGTGGAAAGAGTTGCCATTTATACCGTATAAAAAGAGATGTATGAGTATTAAAGGGGATCAGAGGCAGTAAACCCAACAAATCCATAGTAAACAAACAATCATTCAAACATGGCAACCTAATGTCCAACATTTTCTCGCGATATTTTGTGAACCATGGAAAATGTAGTCCAAATAGAGAGGAACGCTGCTGTCCTAGTTTTGCAGGTCCTGGAAAAGCCTGAACTAATCTTCAGCATTAGACAGCGCCTTAGAGCAGAAAGACATACGCCACAATCGCCGTCGAAACGAAGCAGTGACTGCAGCCTCTCTGTCATCTACAATTAGCGACCCAGCACTAAAACGTCAAGAAGAAGAAGGCGTAGTACGGACACATTCGTTATTTAGTGCGTGTCGTAACTTGAATCAGTGACATGTGCAAGATCGGAACTGAACAATAACTTTGGCCTAAACCATTGGGACCAGTGGCAGAAGAGCAATTTTAAACGAGGTAAAAAATAAAACAATATTTACTTTAATCTGCCTAATTTATGTAATGTATGTAATACCCATTTATATGCCACGCTTCTGCTGTTCCTTGTTAATTCGCATGGTTATTGCATAACCAGATTGTGATGTTGTTTTGCTTTCGCGTGCTGCGTTTTTTGTTTGTGCGGCCGATTGTGTGTGAGAGCAGGAGGTGTTTACAACAGACTGTCTGTTTACAACACATCTACATCACTGAACGTGTGTGTTATCACGTACTTCAGAGCTGCACGGGACTGCTGTTTATTTGGTTTGTGTAGATGACACACTGTACTCTGCCCTCTCGTCTACAGCGTTTCAATGAAAGGGTCTGACTGTTGTTCTGGTGATCTTTGAAGGGCACACATGGCTCACAGTGTGCACGACCATTCACGACGAGCTCTGCCAGTGGCCCAGGCCACAGTCCTGGCTCTTCCTCCTTCAACACCCGCTAAAGTAGGTGCAGTTCTATGTATGACGCATGTATATACTATGGTATTCAGGAGAAACTTAGATTCTTTTCATGTACTTTATGTTATTGGGGATGGGATGTTTGTTAACACACTATTATACTGTTATGTCATATGAGCTTTTTCCTCACAATGTTGCCCTTTCTTCTCAAATGTTGTGCCTTCTTGGAACCAACAGTTCCTGAAGGACGTGTTGTTGTTTGTGGCATGGAGTTTGCAGTGTGCAGAGCTACGCTGTAAATAGAAAGTCGGTGCTTATCTCATGTTGCATTCACTGTAACTGGGTGACCTTGCCATTGCCTCATTCAACATACATTTAGATATTCATAAATGTGAAATTACCCTATTCTTTCTTTTTGTATCTATTATTTCTTTATATCTTACTCAATGCTTTTCCTTTTAAGGTGTTTTGGGAGGGACTTTTTATTGACCATTTGCTCAATAACAGTGAGCGACGTCATCTGCCTTTTATTGGGTCCAACTGCTCTTTCGACCTTAAACACAAAAAGAAATGCAGTTTGTTTTCTTGTTGCGTGTCACATACCTCTGTGGCAGTAAATCTGAAAACACAATGTGGGTTTATTTGGTGTGGGACTTCATTGTATACATATCCAATGATTAAAGGTGAAAGTTCTTCAAGAAATATGAGGTCGTGTGCATTTATTGTTTTTCAGTAGATTTTATAAAAGTTTGAAAAAAATCTCTTTTGAACATGACTGTAAATCCAAACAGGACTTGAGGCCCAGATGGACAGCCCTGGAGTCCCTGGTGTGTGGTGCGTTCGCTGGTGCTGTGGCCAAAACTGCTATTGCTCCTCTGGATAGGACTAAAATTATTTTTCAAGGTCAGAACACCATGTCAATAATGCATGTCCTTCTTTAATAATTGTCCGTTATGTAAAATGTCACCAAGTGTTTGTGTCAGACCTTTTACTGAGCCGTCAAATGTCTAATCTTCTTAGTAGATGTTTAGCCCACATGGAACTAAGTTGTTAACACTGATGTTTACTCAGATTACTGTCTTGTTTTTTCCAGTGTCTTCGAAGCGATTCTCAGCTAAGGTGAGTTCTGAAAAGTCTTTCAACATTTGCTGTCATTACACATTTATTGGTGTGTCTAATTATATTTTAAAGTATATGTAGGATTTATATACAGTGGGACAAAAAAGTATTTTGTTAGGAACCAGAAAAAGTCCTCCCAAAGATGTCAGTAATTTTCATCATAGTATACCTCAATTATGACAGACAAATTGAGAAAAAAGTTGCAGGTGATTTTTCAAAAATGTATTTACAAATTATGGTGGAAAATAAGTATTAAGACAATGACAAAAGTCAATCTACATGTTTTATTTATTTATTAATTATTATTGTTTATCAAGAATAATGTGTATTCAATGTTTATTTGGTTGGGACAGTGCATGTTAATAGACACACCTCTCCGGATGGTAGCATACCAATACTTTGTTAAATACAGTTTGTTGCCAATGAGATTAGATTTTCAGACTTTGTTGCTGGTATTTTGGCCCATTCCTCTATGCAGATCCCTTCTCAAGCAATGATCTTTTGGGGCTGTGGCTGGGCAACATGAACTTTACACTTCTTTATTATTATTTTCAAGATAGAGATTTTATACTTTTATTGATGCTAGAGTTGGAGATTTTGTTTTATTTTTATTAGTATAGCTATTGTTCACTTAACTTGTGCCGTGTGCTCCTCTTTACTACTGTTCTATAACTTGTGATGCAACACTAAAATTGCCCCTCTGTGGGACGAATAAAGGATCTCTTAATCTTTCAACTCCCTTTAAAAATGTTCTATGTGGTTGAGATCTGGAGACTGTGTTTGGGTAGCCTGACTCTCGGCAGACCCTGAGCTGAGCTTCACGTGAAACGCTTCTGGTGGAGCATGGCGGAACTACAAGGGTCTGGCAAGAGTCAGGCTTGTTGTATGGGCACATTAACATGGTGAAAGACCCAGCCACGTTTCAATTTCATGTCCTTTCATGATTTTCTGGATTTTTTTTCTCATTTTGTCCCTAACCCTAACTGTAACCCTAACCCTAACCCATAGGTTAGGTATACAGTGTCTTGCAAAAGTATTCGGCCCCCTTGAACCTTTCAACATTTCGCCACATTTCAGGCTTCAAACATAAAGATATAAAATTTAAATTTTTTGTCATGAATCAACAACAAGTGGGACACAATTGTGAAGTGGAACAAAATTTATTGGATAAATTAAACTTTTTTAACAAATAAAAAACTGAAAAGTGGGGCGTGCAATATTATTCGGCCCCTTTACTTTCAGTGCAGCAAACTCAGTCCAGAAGTTCAGTGAGGATCTTTGAATGATCCAATGTTGTCCTAAATGACTGATGATGATAAATAGAATGCACCTGTGTGTAATCAAGTCTCCGTATAAATGCACCTGCTCTTTGATAGTCTCAGGGTTCTGTTTAAAGCGCAGAGAGAACCATGAAGACAAAGGAACACACCAGGCAGGTCCGAGATACTGTTGTGGAGAAGTTAAAAGCCGGATTTGGATACAAAAAGATTTCCCAAGCTTTAAACATCTCAAGGAGCACTGTGCAAGCAATTATATTGAAATGGAAGGAGTATCAGACCACTGCAAATCTACCAAAACCCGGCCGTCCCTCCAAACTTTCATCTCAAACAAGGAGAAGACTGATCAAAGATGCAGCCAAGAGGCCCATGATCACTCTGGATGAACTGCAGATAACTACAGCTGAGGTGGGAGAGTCTGTCCATAGGACAACAATCAGTCGTGCACTGCACAAATCTGGCCTTTATGGAAGAGTGGCAAGAAAAAAGCCATTTCTCAAAGATATCCATAAAAAGTCTCGTTTAAAGTTTGCCACAAGCCACCTGGGAGACACACCAAACATGTGGAAGAAGGTGCTCTGGTCAGATGAACACACAATGGAATGGTTCACAAATAGACATATCCAGGCGTTAGAATGGCCAAGTCAAAGTCCAGACCTGAATCCAATCGAGAATCTGTGGAAAGAGCTGAAGACTGCTGTTCACAAACACTCTCCATCCAACCTCACCGAGCTCGAGCTGTTTTGCAAGGAAGAATGGGAAAGAATTCCAGTCTCTCGATGTGCAAAACTGATAGAGACATACCCCAAGCGACTTGCAGCTGTAATTGCAGCAAAAGGTGGCGCTACAAAGTATTAGCGCAAGGGGCCAAATAATATTGCACGCCCCACTTTTCAGTGTTTTATTTGTTAAAAAGGTTTAAATTATTCAATAAATTTTGTTCCACTTCACGATTGTGTCCCACTTGTTGTTGATTCTTGACAAAAAATTAAAATTTTGTATCTTTATGTTTGAAGCCTGAAATGTGGCGAAATGTTGAAAGGTTCAAGGGAGCCGAATACTTTCGCAAGGCACTGTATACCTAAGCCTGCTGTGTATTAGCTTTACCTAAACTATACCTATGATGATAGTTTCCTCATCTCTCATCTTTTTAAGTAGGAGGACTTCATAATTGTTGGTCGACTAAATACTTTTTTGCCCCACTGTAAGTAGTTATAATAACGACTTATAATAGTAGAGGTCACTGCATTTTCTCTTTCTTGTTTTCAGAAATTCCTTTGAGTTGCCCTGTGTATGAATTATAAATACAAATAAAATTACCTTTTCTAAATAATATGAAATATGGGGAAATAGTCTTTGATTCTTTTTTTTCTTTAAACACCAGGAGGCGCTGCGACTCTTGTATTGCACGTACATGAAGGATGGGTTCCTCGGTCTATGGAGAGGAAACTCTGCTACTATGGTGCGGGTCATGCCCTATGCTGCCATCCAGTTCTGCTCACATGAACAGTATAAAAGACTTCTGGGCGGCTACTGTGGCTTACAGGGAAAGTGAGTTACTACTGTTCCTACTGTTGCTGTTAAAGTACCTTCCATAATATTGAACATAATATATGACCTCATGCATTTTAGAGCGCTTCCACCTTTTCCTCGCTTCTTAGCTGGCTCTATGGCTGGTACCACTGCTGCTATGCTCACCTACCCTCTCGACTTGGTGCGTGCTAGGATGGCAGTCACAGCTAGAGAAATGTAAGTAACATGCCTCTCAAACATTTTTTTTTTAGATATATTTGTGTTATTGTGTTGTTTCATATATTACAGGTACAGCAACATTCTTCATGTTTTTATCCGAATATCTCAAGAAGAAGGTGTCAGAACTCTTTATCGAGGCTTCACTCCCACAATCCTTGGTGTGATCCCATATGCTGGAATTACATTTTTCACATATGAGACCCTGAAAAAGCTACACACAGGTACAGATGATTAGTTTGGTTGCATTAAAGTTTGGATACCTAACTTTCAAAGCACCAAAACACGTGCTATAAAAAATAACAATTGTAACGATTTCCTTGAAAACATGTGTTTTTTCAAAACAATATGTGTCATGTGAAAACTAGTGATAGAAACAAATGTTCTTTGTCACATCTCTAGATCTTTTTCTGACATAAAGTGAAAAAGAGAACACTAATCATCTCTCAGTCCAAAGTGTCACAGGGCTTTTTCTTACTAGCATTCCAAAGACAATATGTTAATTTATATATACATGTTTTATATTTATATGACAGTATGTTGTGCATTATATATGACAGTATGTTGTGCATTAGACAAGACTTTCTTTTTTGTGACAAAGAACCTTTATTATTGCCCCCATTTGTTTACGGAGGGAGACGTTAGGAACCCCAGGCAGCTACATTTATAAACATTTTTAACAGATTCTACAAAACATAACAATTGTATCATTGTTATCACTGCAGAAAAGACCAGAAGATCTCAGCCATATCCACACGAGCGATTGGCCTTTGGAGCGTGCGCAGGCTTGATCGGTCAGTCGGCCTCATATCCGCTGGACATAGTGCGGCGTCGTATGCAGACAGCAGGGGTCACTGGATCATCTTACTGCACCATACTGGGAACCATGAGGGAGATAGTGAAGCACGAGGGAGTAGTTCGTGGACTCTATAAAGGCCTGAGCATGAACTGGGTTAAAGGACCTATTGCGGTGGGGATTAGTTTCACCACCTTTGACATAATGCACAACCTCCTGCTAAAAATGCACCACATGGGTTACTTCACGCCCTGAAACACAGCAGTCATCCCAGATGAGACGGCGATGTCTCTTGATCCGCCACGCACTCCTGTGTATGAAAATGCAGGCAGAGGACTATGGGATTGGCCTGGCTCGTTGCACAATAAGATTGCCTTTTTTGAGTGGTATTGAATGCATACGTGGCTTTTCAGTAATGTTTGCACTTACAAAATCAAAACAAAGAAATGCAAAAATTGTGTGAATGGTATAAAAATCTGTAATGGTATATGATTTGTTTTTAGTTTTTGCATTACGTATTTTGTACTTAATATAGTGACAAATGTTTGGTAAGGTTTGTGTGGAATCTAAGAATTTAATCTATAACCGTACATAATGAACCCATTATGTTTAGAAAATAATTCTGATTTCTGAAGTGTATAATTTTAGTGCCACCATGAACTGAATGTAACGCCTTAAGAAGAAAATTATGTTTAACAACCCACATTTCACTGTCCCCCTAATCTGTGGACGGAAATCAAACAGACATTGATACATCAAATCATTTGTATTTTGTTTACAAGAAAGACAATTCTACCAAAGTACGCACAACGCACACGTGAGATTTTCTATGTAAGCTAATCATTTCTATGTCCTTGCACACTTTCAATAAACAAAATGGACTTGCTTTTGTTTGTACACATGCTGACCGTGCAATAAAGTCACGGTTCATAAAAACACGTAGAGGATATATTTGTCCAATAGAGGGAGCAATCTGACCAAAAGTCAACGACACCAAAGCGTCACATCATTTAAGCAAATGTTGTTTTTGTTTATTTAGGCCTAGACTTTAGAGGTTTGTAGAGGTCTACTAGTCTAATGCTAATCAATAGCTGAAAATAAAATGGTGATAATAATAAAGGTATAAACACAGTTATTGTATTATCTTGTTATTTTATTTCCTAATATATTAAATCCCAATATTGATCAAACTATTGCTGTTGCAGCCTAAGGTCTGATTTTCTGGTCTGATCTACAGAACTCGTGTAGATACAGTCTGTGGTTTGCCTCTGTGGGTGATAGAGATAGTGATATTTAGTTTAGTGTAAATCGTCTTACTTCTACCTCCTTCTGTGTTCCAGTAGGTGGCAGCAGAGCGCCCTGTTGGCTTGGGTTCGTCTGATGAGCTTGTGGCCTAAACTTGACCTGTTCTCATCGCAGACATTTTGTATCGTTTTGCTCACGCTTCTGTTACTATGAAATTATATTATTCCAAAAATACACTTTCTTTTCCTTAAAGATAATTCTGATTCAACTTGTGTAAGAGAATTACAGAGAAAATGCAACACAAGGTGAGGTCCTGCATATTCGTGTTAGCATATTGGCTAATACTGAACACTATACACTCACTTTTTCAATAACATTTGTATACATGTTTTTGTATTGTAGATTTATGGTTATAGGACATAATTTAAAGAATCAGATAGTTAGATAATAATACTATTATTAATTTAAAATGTGTAATATATATATGTTCCCTCCCAAGAGTTATGATTTATCTGAATTATGACAACATATTTTTTAGAATTACTATAACAATATTGCCCTGCAGCATCAACATTTCAAACTACGTACGGTCGCCCAATGAAATCACCGCAGTTATTGGTCCGTGTGTGTGTATGGAAGAAGCATTAAGCGTCTGCAGCCGGGACATGGACGAGGCACTATGGCCAGAGAGCTTTTGTGTTTTTTTTTTTTTAAACTTCGAATAAAAGCATTGGCTCAGAGCCTGAAATACAGAGACTGAGGACTATCTAACATATATATACGTGTAGATGAGCTAAAACACTTAGTTTGCTATTGTGTCTTCTGAAGAGGACAAAGTAGCAAGGTAAAATGGGACCAGCTCCTGTTGTTATCCGCCCTCAAGTGGTTTGTTGAGGATTACAACATTCTCCTCAAAACTCCGAAAGGGAACGCCGCCAGTATAACGACAATTGTGCTAACTTAGGACCACCGCAACCGCTAAAGTAAGCCACGCCGCGCAAGTAACCTAGGCCTTTCGAGTCTCACTACATCTTTAATCCAACTTGTTATCTGAAGACTATAAAGGTTGGAAATATCTAAATCGGTAGTGTGGGTCATTTTAGGTGGAAAAGAATTGTTCTGATTACTGCATTTGCCACCCACTGGACCTGACACAAAAATCATAGCACAATATTTGAAATGGAAAAAGAAAGAGCCTTTGTATAAGGCAGCATTTCTTGTTTCTCCTAAGAAAAAAAAGGCTGAACTTATATATATACACCAAGGGAAAAAAAACATTAATAAAGCCTGCCATGGAGTATGAGTCGACCCGAGGAACAGTTCTTGTTCTGAGGCTATGCAGGTCTGAGCAGGTTTGGAGCTGCATAGACAACATTCATTCCAGTTGTTTGTCCTTTTCTCTGTTGTTTACCCCGAGGCAGCAGTTTACGGAGAGTATAAAATCTCAATTCTGTACTTCACATCACAACCTTATGCACTGACATTTTAGACAAAGCAGAAGACGACAAAGCTTGATTTGGTATTAAAAGTGCGTTAATGTTCAGAAGCAAGTAAATAGGATTTATTGCACTGGCCAATAGCCCCAATAAATGGATTTCCCTTTTCATAACAAAGTCTGTAGAATAACAACATTCTTACACATTAAGAAAACTGATACTAACGTGTGTGAAATGTAGGGTGCAGGACTGAATAAAACCAATTAAATTTATTTTTGTATCGCCCCAAAAACACAACAGCAGTCGTCTGTTTGTTTGATTACCTGATTCGGTGTTGGTGAATTCACCGGTATTGTTAAGTCCTCCGAGATTACTGCTGTTGGATTTAGGGCTATATAAAAATATTTATTTATTTATATTATTTACTTTATTTGAATGGACAGTGCATTTCAAATGAACAGACACATTAGAAAACAAGAATGTAAACATGCCAATAATAGCCAAAGGCTCATTCCATCTGTAGTCCATCCCCCAATTGAATTGATTTTGTCTCTTTTCCTAGTACAAAGAGACAAACTCAGTAGGTTAAGTATGATATGGTGAAGCTTATGGTAAGAGAATAGAGGGTGAATGTGAACATGTGAACCTTCAATTGTAACTCTACAATAACAATAACAATTCAAGAATACATGTACCAATTCATCAGTGGCAGAAACCAAAATGGACAAATAAATACAAAATTTATCACAAAAAAAAGAATATACAAAAAAATAGAAATAAGAATCTACCGTTTGAACACAAGAATACATGTGGGAGTCCACTGTATTAAACCAAAATTAAAGTAATTTATAGTTTATTTGTGTGCACTGCACTGTTGCGGCACAGTATCAATGTAGTTGTATTATTTTTTTTTGCTGCTATAGGACATGAATTTCTCCCAGGGTGATGAATAAAATATCTATCGATCATGTATTATGTCTGCCCCGCGCCTTACCCGTGACCACACGCTGTGCGCTGCTAGACGTGTCGCTCGCCATCGAAGGGAACGCATCTCCAGGCGTGGAAGCTGCAGCTGGTTCTGGAGGGATTGGGGACGGGGACCTTGGGGGGTCGTTCGACGCTTCACTTGCGACAAGGGATTCTACAATAAGACAAACACACACAACGACTTAAGTAAAAGCACAAAACTGAATGGCAACACGTGAAATGGCAAGATGTAGCACGTGTTAGCAGCTTGCTATCGATAGCTTAAAGTAGCTAGCTCACTTTGTACAGCAGACAACAATCAAACGTTTACATGAATAAATACATTCCAGTGGGCATTGAGCCACAGGTTACGTGATAATGCATTTTCACAATAACTACAGATAAAAGTTACAAAGCACTTACCATTATCGCCCATTCTCGACGTGGAAGAAGAGTCCAGAGCACACTCCCGTCCATTGTTTGCAGGCCTGTGGCCATAAATGGCATCCATCTCGGCATACCACCTCCAGGTCTTCCGATTGACCCCACTTCGGCCGTTGTGGTCCTTTATGGCCCGGTAATCGCACTTCATCTTTTTAATCTTGTCCCTGCACTGCTGGTGCGTGCGGTGGTAACCGTGTGTGAGCAAGAGCTGGGCGATCTCTTTATAGACCTTCTCATTTCGCGTACTGCCATCGAGCTCCTTCTGTATTCTGTCTTCGGCCAGTAAAGACAGAAATGTTTGGACCTCATCAACAGACCACGGTGTGGACTTTTGCGGCTTGCTGGATTCCATTTCTCGAGTGCAGTACGTATGCTCACAGGGCAGTTTTAAAAATGGCGGGGTTGAATCTTGTCAGACGTCGCACTTATGACGCTACCAGTGACGACAGTCGTTGGCCAATAGTGTGAGAGAGCCGTTGGCCAATAGCGTAGGCAGTCCGCTTACGTCACGAGAGTGTAGCTTTTTGGAACCGCTCCCGAGGCGGTCCGAAAATAGAACACAATACCTAGCTTCAACGCTAGTGGAAATGCAAAAGTAACGCGCCGTGTCGTGTAGAGTGGTGTAGTGCCGGTGCTGTGGAAAAGCGCTATTATACACTCGAGTTCAGATCTGGGGGCTGGTCAACCCTCTCCAATTGTCACTGGTGTTTCCCATGGGCAAGTCCCACGGAGAATATTACAATATTTTTTTTACTTTATTCAACTTTTAGAGTCTTTTTTTCAGGGGTGTGCCCAGAGGGTGTGCATGGACTGGGTTGTCCAGGTCCCCACAAAAAAAGCAATCGTGGCAAACCTGGAAGTAGCTATTATTATTAATTGCACATTATAGGACACATCTGCAGAGGATCTGATTATGGATATAGGTTCAGTATATAAATAGGTAAGTCAGCGCGGATGTTCAGAATTCTTTGTTCAGTTTTCATGAAGTTTCAGAGCCTAACGAAGGCGTGATTCGGAGGCTCCGCGAAAACAAACAACTGAGCATGCGCAGCTACGAGCATCAGCGCAATGATTGACAGCCCTTGGCATCACTTGATTGGTTAACGTGGACGGCATCGTGGATTCTGAGCTATAGCTAAGAGAAGGGAAGGCGGGACTTACCTG